AAATATTGGGTAGTACGGTATATATTTTCTCAGTTTACTTATAATTGCACATTATTGGTCATATATAAATGTAATAAATTCTACATACCTACTTTAATATTTATTATATGATATACCTACACATTTACTTGTCAACTGTGTAGTAATGGTCTATTAAGATTTGAGTGTATTGACTGAAGTTGCATAATAGTTTTAAAATATTTTACACATTATATAATGCAACATACAACATGTACTATATAAGCGTGTGAGTATTCGGTAAAATTATGATAATTTGTATAGGTACTACGTATTTACACTATATTATACATTTTAGTTTTTTTTTTTATTTCATATTGCCAACTCTTGGGTTGTCAGATATGAGTATACGAATTAAAAATTGACAAACCTATATTTAAAAATAAGCAATATATAGACAAGCGGAATAAGAATTGCAAATTTTCACGAAATAAAGTGTGCACATAGTATAAAAGCAATAATAAAGTAGTGCCTTCATCTTATTGTTAAGAATTTAAAAAGGTATGGTAAAAATTAAATTTACAATAGATGCATATATTTATCGCATATTATTGTCTCACGGTGCCCAAGTCCAGATAAGTCCCCTAAATACTCATATGCAAACACAATTGGTCGTAGTTCAATATTTCCATAAACAATAATTTTACCAACTGTTATRGCTTGTAGAAAATGATCGTTAAATTCAAATTTAAAATAAAATATTAAATGTGTTATCCAAATTCTAAATCAAAATATATAAATTATGCAGGCATATATAGTACCTACTAGATAATATAGGTGYGATAAAAATATGAAAGAAATCATATAATAGATCATTTAAATGAAAAATTAAAAAAAATGTTAAGTTATAATATTACATTTTTAAACTAAACATTGAAATTAAAAGTTAACTATGATTATTGTACTAAAAAAAAGTAAATATGAACGCATTCGATATCATTTCGGGTCATAATAAATATTATAATAGTACACCTTCGTTGTTTTGGGGATGAACGAGTCTTAAACTTAACGTTGTCCTTACCAAATCGTCGGCCATAATGAAAACGATGTTTGGCTTTGATGACTGAGTTCGGGCTGGTCGCAGGACGGCGGCCAACGCGATCAGGACCCACAGTGACAACCGTGTAACTTCCATGAGTCCGCAGCGTGTGGGCAGCGAAGACGGCGGTGCGGTGACTGCAACGAAGTTTGCGCGAGTGTATTTAGATATTGAACGCGATTATGGTGGCCTAGCTGAGATCGGTTTTCCGAACGGTGGCGGAGGAACAAAAATTATATTAATAATGTAACGACAACGACAAACTAAAAAGGAAAACGACGGCTTTTCCCTCTTCTTTTTCCCCTATATTTGTGTCCTAATTCGCGACCGAACGAGAAAGAAAAATCACTATTGCTACCGTCGCGGGTAAAGTATGCCGTCGATGAATATTTTATTATTGTAAAATTATATCAATTCACGTAGATAGGTATTCTAAGTATTCAACGTAAGTATTATATGTCTATACAATATAATATAATATAATTTTATTATTGTAAAAATAATTCAATACGATTTTCACGGTGCAGCGCGACTCGCGTGTATCTCGAAAATAATATGCTTAATATAAATATTAATTTAATATATATTTTTTAAAATACTGTGCTTGTAAGACGTGGACATAACACACCTACACACACACGATATATTATATTATTATTTATTATTTCGAATATACTCGGACAACGCGCAAAATTTAAACGGGCAAGACCGTAGTGCTGACTGGACTGACGTCGCTAAAAAATTCGGCACCTATTTATAATGCTTGATACGCGTCCAATGATTTTTATATTGTTATTCACCTTCCACCAAAAATTTTACTGTTGTTTCCTAGTGTGGTATAATATAAAAATATTATACGATATCCACGAACTTTACCCATCCGTGGGCAGTTCGAGTAAGCACTGCAAGGTCACCCCCCCACCCCACTACGAAATATAGTTACATTTATGTTTATATGTTTTTATATATATATATAGAGGTACAACTGGCATAGTAATAGATAGATTACTATACTAAGCACGCTCATCCCCATTTTAGACTCTAAGCGGAGAGATGAATGGAATGTATTTTTTTATTCATAATAATGTATGAATTAGGCTGGCACACGATTTATACAGTAGAAAAAATGCTATGATTTTCAACTTTGTGGACAGTTTTAGAAAGCTACTTAGTGAGATCAAAATAGAAATTCCTAAGATATTCTCAAAGTAGTTGTGAAAAAAATTAGGGAAAACGGTTGTTACTCAGTAGAAATAGGCATCCTACTTGCCTATTTTTTAAACTTAAATAAATTTATTTATTCCTATTCTAATTTTTGGCATTCCTTAACTATACTATTTTTATAAGGACCATATTTWAAAAAATAATAATAAYTTAAGGAGTGCTCTACTCAAGCGATTCCAACTTCTGTTCTTTTCAAATTAGAATCGCTCATTTTTTTCGTATAAATTATTTATCAGAAGACTTTTTGAAAATATTGATATACCTAAACCATTGAATTATTTTGAAATTACAACAAATTATGTAAAAAAATTTTTTTTAATTTTAATTTTATTTAAAATCAACAATCTGTTGCATATAAATTCAATAAGAAGATGGGAGGGGTGAACATAGTATTTGAAAATAGTCTCAATTGAAGACGTTACCCACTGATATCGCTTCGGCATGTTTAATTTAAATAAATTTTTATTTTTAGGGTTGGAGAAAGTCTCTTGGCTATTGTGTTTTAGCTTTTGATARTGAAAAAAATAAATATTATAAAAAAAAGTTCAAAGTTCAAAATTGTGAGTGTAGCGAGTAGACACTATAATGAACCTTATATAATTATTATGTAATTTCTGTRTATTCAACATTTTTATTTACCTAACCATTTTATTAAAGGATAATAATATTAATTAATATAGTCTTATGTAAAAGTAATAATTTTCAATTTTTTCATTTTTTTGTGAAATAATTTATATAATTCGCAGGATAGAATTTTGAAAGCATTTGGATCTTACCGTTACCATGTTGAGTTTCTAATAGAACTAAAATAAGTATAAATGTCACTATGTCAGATATTATTTATTAATGTGTTTATGGATAGTTGTTAAGGTTTTTTTTTTCAATAATTCAATAACTATCGAATTTAATTTTCTAACAATTTTAGAGGACGCTAATATATTTTTTTTGCGAAAACCGTTTAACAAGAAAATGAATCCTCAGGCTACATATTATATAACTTATAGATAAGAAAACCAAATGTGTACACGATACAAAAGATAATATTATAATTTATATTTATATTTATTATAATTTATATGATATTGTAATTTCGTAAAAAAATTATACTAAATATGTTGATATAGATTGGTAATTTTACATCACGAGTACTGAGAAAAAAAATTAAATTTCTTGAGTAAATACCTACCTGGAAGTTATGATAACAAATTGTTAACTCTTACCAGTACATTATTTACCACTATGGAAACGTCATGATTCATGTTTGTGAATTTTACCTGTGMAATTTATCATATCTATGCACTATTGCATTATATTGTAGTATATTATAATATTATAATAGATGTGCAGAAAATACTGATGCGATGTATCAATGCGCTGTTTGTGCTGACTGCGTTTTCATACATTATTTATAAAACATAAAGGGAAATTTGTTTTTTCTGCTTTTCTTGCTCAGTATGTGTGATCGTCTTTGGGTCTATAGGTACAAACAGGTACACCAGGTGGCAGTGATACTCCAAAATTGTCGTTCAATAATTCTATGTGTGCTCCTGCTAGCATTCTCTCTGCAAGTGTGCCTAACCCAGATATACGTTTATTATAACAGTACGTAAAAGCAAAAATAATTTCTTACTATATTCGACGATGACTCTTGTATTCATATTTCATACACATAGACAGGTACATAGACTTTATAAACCGCAGGTTTGTCACTCGTTGTCACTGCAGAGTCCGCGTGTGTTCATAATAGAGGAATATTAAAATAACATATTATKTCAAGTACAATGGAAAATGTGAATGTAAATAATACAATTAATACAAATAAATGTTTAGGTAGGTAGGTATAGGTACATGTTTTTGAAATATTATTTCTGTGTTCAAGTTCCCTCCTTATTCTCATGATTTGATTTTTGATCTCGTGTATTAGACAGATATAATATAATATAATATAATATTATATTATATTATATTCTGCATTCACATAATTCGATTTTATTTTGGTACATTTTTTTCGAGTGAGCCATGCAAAATATTATATATTATATAGCATATTATAAGAAAAAAATTATCATAAGTAACTCCCGCTGCCAATATTGTATATATATTATATATACATGCAATAAAAATATTTTAATTTTTTTCTTGCTCTCAAAATGTGTGCCACGGATTTTCCATCCCTGTTATATATCAATAAACTTATAAGTTATAAAAAATAGTTCATATTGAATAATTTTGAACTAAAATTATCATACAAACCATTTTTGGAGCAAGTGTACCTATAGAAACTCGTTATATAAAATAACGACCACCACTATAATAAGTGTAACCACAATGACGAGTTTTCGATTTATTTTATTTTTTTATTTGTGTAGTTATAATGTAGTGGTATGCAATGTGTCCTTAATCTTATAATCTTTCCGTTGTTTGTTTTTATGATAATTCAGATTAAATCAATTAAAAGTTGCTACAAAACAATAATACAACATTGTTTAGTTTTAGATCATTTAAAATAAAACTCTTTATCGTTAAACTGTTTGTATAGAGCAAATTAAGAATGTCCTTCAGAATTCTATTTTATTCAGGAAACTATGTTAAGCCAACACATTAAATAGACGTTACCTCTTATTGTATTACGCATTATTACTATTGTTATATTGTTTGATTTATTAAATTTCGTTATGTTGACCAGTTTTTGAGAATAGTCCAATAATACTTATGTTTCCGGGTAGTTACATAAAATTTGACGTGTGTCTAACTTTGCCATATTTTAATTTACTTGCTAATTTTTAGAGTTTTATTATTCTTATTTCCTACTATTTATCATAATTTATTTATAGTGTTACATTACGCGAGTTCCTGTGTTCTATGTAGTGTTAATGTACTCATGTTTACAAATAAATAATATATGTTTAAAATTATTTTATATGTAGTTATATATATATATATATGTATTTATTTACGCTTAGATATGTTGATACTCGTCTATATGAGACAAATATGGACAATAATACAATCGATCCCGTATAATAGTATAGAATACCGCAGCCAACAAATTGTATGCTATATTATGTATGAAAATGAAATATTATTGTCTATACAGTTTTTAAATATAAGATGGCACCTTAAATACTAACTTTAATGCTCACGAAAAAAATGTTTGACTGCAAACATCTTGACTGAAGCACAAATAGTTCACATTTATGACTTTATGAGTGACAGTCTCTATGCATATTTTATAAACAACTTTTAGAGAATCAATTTTATCATTAAACGGGGATCGAATAGGTAGGTTTAGTACCTACTATAAGTACCTACTCACTACTATAACTATCTAGGATGATACGCTCACTCCCCATTATTATTTTTATAACGAATTTATTCAGTCTTAAATTTACAG